GTGTAAGTACACTCCATGATGTTCAAACAATGATTAAATTACCTAACAATGAATTTCTCAGAACATATCCCCATCGTTAAGTGATGCATGACTATACTTTCAAGCTATGAGTCATGACTAAGACTGCAAATAAGTTAAAACCCAATATAATCAAGTTGGCAACTCCAGGGTCAAAACAAACAAACAAACAAACAAAACTGCTCTACAATGGTCTCTCATTACAAAATCTGAACAATAATTCTCATTGGTCTCTCTTAGATCGAATTCCTTCCCTGGAAAAATCAAGCTGGGCCAAAAGGATGGGTGAGATGACTGGTCCCTCAGAGAATTGCCAGCTCTGGGATCTCAGCTTCTCTTTCTAGAAGGATGTGGGGAAGAGTGCTAAGCAGACAAAAGACAGTCACTACAAATAACAATTTAGTACATGATAAAAGTATTTCAAATCAATGACAAAAATATGGATTAGTTAAATGGTGTCAGGACAACTAGCAATTCATTGAGAAAATAAACATTAGATCCTCTCATCAAGCCAGATGTTATCAAGAAAACATGGGAAAATGTCAATGAAAAATTCACTTAATTTTTAAAAATAGGTTGTTTTGTATGAAGAGAAAGAAATACCTAATATATAACTAAGTTCCAAATGAAAAATTTCTGCATTATATTCTATTTCCTCATTACATGGAAATTTACAGAGCATAAAGCAGCTGATGAATCATTTTCTCAAAAGAAATAACTTGTCTCCAAATTGCTCTAACACTTGTGAATTACACAGTATTTTTAAAATGTATCCCTTTTCAAATTAGGATGCCTTTTATAGCTCCAAATAACAAAAAGCTCAACTCCGACAGGCTTACTCAATAAGGAAAATTAATGACCTCAGGTTCCCAATACAAAGCCACTTCAGAGCCACTAAATTCAGTACTCTGTAACAATCACCAGCCAAGCTTTTCCATTCTCCCCTTCCTCAGACCACCAGTCCTGAGCCACAAGATGCAACCAATGGTCATATTCAGAAGTTTAAAGCCATTATGTTCATTGTCTCTTTATCAATGCTGAAACCTTTCCCAAAAGTCACCCAAAATATTAAATATTTCCCTACACATCCTAGTAGCCAGTACTTAGTCATATGCCCAACCCAAACAATTGCTGGTGAGGAGGGGAAAACCAGGCCACATCAAGGTTCTTCAGCAAAGGAGCAGAGAGCAGCCTTCCAACCTGCTGCATGGAAATACAGGTAAACAAGAGAGAAAGAATCAAGGCACACTAGCTGCTATCCTGTTACGCAAAGGGTTCCTGGCATCCAGCCACTTGAGCTGTACCTCTTTAGGCACTCCTTGGAAACATGTCAGCAGAAGAAAGAGAAGGGTAATTTCTTTATACAGCACTGTTTTTACTGTCAGAGTGTAATGAGCACTACTGTTTGCAGGTAGTTCTTAATACAAGCTTGTGCTAACAGTGTACCCTGCCTTTGCACACATTCTGAAATGCATTATTAAAGTGACTAAAACCCAAGAGAGTTGAACACTTTTTAAAAAGGCATTGTTTGGTTTCTTTATTGATGAGCAGATCAGTAACAACAGGCAGAACTATTTGTATATGCCAAGAAATAATAAGTGGTGTGGTACTTCTCCAAAACTTTTATTATAAAAAATTTCAAACAAAACTCTTTTAAGAAAGTACAATGAATACCCATGTACCTAACACTAAGTTCAACACGTGCTAAAATTTTGCCATTTTTGCTTCATCTATGTATGTATCTTTTTCCTAAACCACTTCAAAGCTGCAGACATCATGACAGTTCATCTCTATATATTCAGCATGTGGGTCCTAGAAATAGATACTAACATAACAATTATCACATCTAAGAAAATTAATTCTAATTCCATAATGTCATCTAATACCCCTTCCATGCTCAAATTCCTCCAACTGCCTCCAAAGTATCTATGTAGATGTGTTGTTGGGCCTAATGTCTTTTGGATTCAATCAAGGCCTATGCACTGCATTTAATTATATCTCTTTAATAAAAAACAATCCCCCCCACATTTTCTTTTTAAAAATGACATAGACTTTTTGATGAGACCAAGCCAAGTATCTTCTAAATGTCCCACATTCTGGATTTGCCTGATTTATTTTCTCAACTGATGTTGTTCCTCTGTCTCCTTTATTTCCTATAATCTAAAAGTTAAGTCTAAACACTTGCTTAGATTCAGATTTAATATTCTGGCAAAACAATACTGCCAACATGACATAACTACTTCATACTGCATTTCATCAAGAGGCACATGTCACTACCATTACTGTTACATTTGATCATTTGGTTAAAGTGGGGCAGTCATTCCGTTGTTAAGGTACTTTTTTTCCAGTTTCAATGAGTATCTGTGGGAGATACTCTGGCACTAACAAGCATCCCATATCCCTCACATCTAGTCATTTTAGCATTCATTCATGATCTTTGCCTAGATGCACTCGGGGTTGCAAATAAGCAAGTTTCCAAATTCTGTCATTCCTTCTGCATTTATTAGCTGACATTATTCTATAACAAATAGCTTTCCATGATGGAGATGAACAACTGCTCCTACTAAAAGGGCAGGATGAAAACCTAATTCTTTCCCCCTAATTACAGAGTAAGGAGTTTACTTAAGAGTCACCTTTAATGGCAGAAATGACTTTAGCCTCTTTCTCTTTTTTGTATCACTGTGGACTCAGGTTTTTGTTTATTCAAAATGTTACAATTAGTCATTCTTTTTGATCATCAAAGTGCCTCAAATTTGGCCAGTGGGAGCCTCTTCAAGCTAACTTCTGTGTCCTTTCTCACATTCCCATTAATCTTTGAGTGCTTCCTTGGTTTCTGAACCAGGAGGTCCCAGGCTCACCTTGGACACTTCAAGACCCAGATCTAGATCCAGCTATTTCTCCAAGGAGTCCTGGTTCCTTTAGCAGCATTGCGAGGGACTGAATTTGCTCATCACTACAGGCTGTTGTTGCTTCTAGGCCCTCTCAGTGAACAGAACTAGGAAATGTATATATATTTTTAAATGAGTGACATTTTCAATTCATATTTTCCATTATGGGTAATTTTATATAAATACTTTGATTTTTTTATGGTCATCTCTTAAACTGGAAATTTTGGTTCCTGGTAACTTTAACAATTCATTTTTGCTTGAACCTATAACATACAAAATAGATTCAAAATAATACCAATGTGGCCGGGCGCAGTGGCTCACGCCTGTAATCCTAGCACTCTGGGAGGCCGAGGCGGGCGGATTGTTTGAGCTCGGGAGTTCGAAACCAGCCTGAGCAAGAGCGAGACCCCGTCTCTACTAAAAATAGAAAGAAATGAATCAGACAACTAAAAATATATAGAAAAAAAATCAGCCGGGCATGGTGGCGCATGCCTGTAGTCCCAGCTACTCGGGAGGCTGAGGCAGTAGGATTGCTTGAGCCCAGGAGTTCGAGGTTGCTGTGAGCTAGGATGAGGCCACGGCACTCTAGCCCAGGCAAGAGAGTGAGACTCTGTCTCAAAAAATAATAATAATAATAATACCAATGTTACTAACATGGAAATTGATGAGTGACATTTGCCATTTTTTTACAGTTCTTTTTGTCCTGAAAAACATCCCAGTAAGGATGTACAGTGAAAATACTGTGTTCAGAGGTCTCTTGAAAAACTGACTTTTTCTATGTGGTTACCAATTTGATATAAACTTAGACTGATTTCTCTCTGCTTTCAATTTCAGAATCCGCTTTTCTTTTTCAGTATGTAAATCAATTTCATTTATTGAGAGGTCAAAACTTCATCAAAAGGTATATACAAAGAAGCCTTGCCTCCATCCTTGGGCCCATTACCCTATTCATTCCTGTCTCCATAGGTATTCATTTTCTAGTTTGTAGTTTATCCTTTCATTTTGTAGTTTATCCTTATTTGCAAAAATAAGCTACATATATATATACACACACACACATATGTACATACACACATTATATATATATGTGTATATGTATATACACACACACACACACACACACACACACACACTCTTCCCCTTAATTCATACACAAAAGGCAGCAAGCTATATAGTTCTCTGTATCTCTTCTCACTAAATTTTATGCACTTCAAATTTGTCAAGCATGTTACTTATAATGTATATTGTACTATAAAAATACAAAGAAACACTGGTAGCATCTAGTGTGGGAAGCCTGTCCTAACAGTGCTTAAGCTATGGGGAGACATTTCCTACTGACAATTGAGTTCCACTATGTAAATCAAATATATACAACATATGTATGTTGCCTACTAACATATGTAAGCCCTATTTATCTCAGGTACTCAAGTATCTAATGCTGTCAGCTTGCTGCTGCAACTTGTGTTTTTCAAAAGGCTTCATAGTCCAACAATGAATAGCATTAGCATTAGATATATTTGTTGTATTTTCAAAATTTGGTAGCACAACTGAAACATGAATTATATTACATTATTCCTAGAGGAAAAAAAAGTATCTCTATATCCTAAATTGACAGATGTCTCCTTAGTCTTCTCTGCTTATATAATAATGTTTGATTTTTTTCTCTTAAAGGCATTCATACACATAAAACATTTATATAGTTTCACACCAATAACAATTACCTGATGTGTAGTAAGCTGTGACTTTGTAAATGCTTTTATACTTTTGTCACATTGTTTTTTCCCTGTGATTTTTCTGAAGCATGTACTGTATTTGATTTGTTGGTGGATACTATTATACAGGATGTTCTCAGAGATTACTCCCCATTGGAGTTCTCACATATTTAGTATGATGACATAATTTTCCCATTTTCATTTCATTCATGGACAGGCCTCCAGCCCCTACCACTTGTGTGTTTTCTGGTGCCAACTAAGGTCTAAATTTACACAAAAGGAGTTTTCCACATTATTACATTCATGAGGTTTTTCCAAAGAGTTTTCTCTGGTGTGGTAAAGTTTGACTTCACACAGGAGGATTTTCCACATTTGTTACAATTTAGAGTATCACTCTTGCATGAATTATCTGATGACTAGTAAGAGTTGACTTCTTGCAGAAGGTTTTCCCACATTTGTTACATTCATAGGGTTTCTCCCCTGTGTGTGTTCGCTGATGCACTGTGAGGGTTGACTTCATACAGAAGGATTTCCCACATCTATTACATTCATAGGGCTTCTCCCCTGTGTGAGTTCTCTGATGATTGATGAGGTTTGACTTCACATAAAAAGTTTTCCCACATTCGTTACATTCGAAAGGGTTCTTCCCTGTGTGAGTTCTCTGATGCACAGTGAGGTGTGATTTCATGCAGAAAGATTTGTCACATTCGTTACATTTATAAGGCTTCTCTTCTGTGTGAGTTCTCTGGTGAATGGTTAAGGCTGACTTATAGCAAAAGGATTTGCCACATTTATTACACTCATGGGGTTTCTCACCAGTGTGTGTTCTCTGATGTTCAATGAGATGTGACTTCTGAAAGAAAGTTTTCCCACATTCATTACACTCATAGGGTTTCTCCCCTGTATGTGTTCGCTGATGTTTAGTAAGGTGTGACTTCTGGAAGAAGGTTTTCCCACATTCTTTACATTCATAGGGTTTCTCCCCTGTATGGATTCTCTGATGTTGACTGAGTGCTGACTTCATATAAAAGGATTTCCCACATTCATTACATTTATAGGGTTTCTCCCCTGTATGAGTTCTCTGATGTACAGTTAGGGTTGACTTATGGCGAAAGGTTTTCTGACATTCATTGCATTCATAGGGTTTCTCTTGTGAATGTGTTCTCTGGTGATCAGTGAGGTTTGACTTCATAGCAAAGGCTTTCCCGCATTCGTTACATACATGGGGTTTCTTTCCTGTGTGATTTCTCTGATGTATATTAAGATGTGACTTCACATAGAATGACTTTTCACATTCATTACATTTATAAGGTTTCTCTCCAGTGTGAGTTCTCTGGTGTATAACTAAGGTTGATTTCATATGGAAGGACTTCCCACATTCGTTACATTCATGTGGCCTCTCCCCTGTGTGAGTTCTCCTATGTTTAGTGAGGGCTGACTTTTTGTAGAAGGACTTCTCACATTCATTGCATCCATAGGGTTTCTCCCCTGTGTGAGTTCTCTGATGTACAATGAGGATCGAATTCATAGAAAAGGATTTGCCACACTCATTACAGTCATAGGGTTTCTCCCCTGTGTGAATTTTCTGATGTTTAGTGAGATTTGACTTCACACAAAAGGCTTTCCCACATTCATTACAATCATAGGGTTTCTTACCTGTGTGAGTTACCTGATGTATAATTAGAGCTGACTTGTAACAGAAGGATTTCCCACACTCAGTACATTTATAGGGTTTCTCTTCTGTATGCTTCCCTTGATGTACATTTAGGGCTGACTTATAGTAGAAAGATTTTCCACATTCATTGCATCTATAAGGTTTCTCCCCTGTGTGTGTTCTCTGATGGTCAGCAAATTGTGACTTTTGGAAGAAAGTCTTCCCACATTCATTACATTTGAAAGGTTTCTCCCCAGTATGTGTTTTTTGGTGTTTAGTTAGGTTAGATTTCACACAGAAAGATTTCCCACATTCCTTACATTCATATGGTTTCTCCCCTGTGTGAGTTCTTTGATGATGATTGAAGTTTGATTTTGCATAGAAAGATTTCCCACATTCTTTACACTGATAGGGCTTCTCTCCTGTGTGAATTCTCTGATGGACTCGTAGGGCTGAGCTATGACGAAAAGGTTTCTTACATTCATTACATACATAAAGCTTCTTTTCTGACTGTGTTCTCTGGTGATCAGTGAGGGATGACTTCACAGGGGTTTTACCCCATTCATTGGGTTTCTCTTTTGGGTGAGTTCTCTGAGAGTCAGTGAGTTGTGATTTCTGGAAGGTTTTCCCACATTTATTACTTTCACATGGTTTCTCTCTTATGTGTGTCATCTGATGTTGAGTGAGATGGGACTCCTGGCAAAAAGATTTCTTGCAATGACTACATTCAAAGGTTCTCTTTCCTGTGTGAGTTCTATGAGGTTGTATGAGATGTGACTTCTTGCTGAAATTCTCATTTTCATTAGATTCATGGGTTTTCTGCCCTGTATTAACTTTCTGATGTTTAAAGAGGACTAACTTCTCACACTCATTAACTTCAGAGTGATTTTTCCTTGTGTGAGGATCCTGATGAACTCTGGCGGTTGACTTGGCACTGACATTTCCCCCATGTTCTTTAGAATCACAGGGTATCTCTCCTATTTCAGACATCTTATGTGTTATGATGGCTGCCTTCTCAGGGAAGGTGTTTCCACATTCATTATCTTCCAAAGGTGGTCCCAAAGTTTTGATTTCCTGTTGCTCAATAAAGTGCTCATTAAGATTTGAGGATTTCCCACCTTGGTTATATTCATCACATTTCTTTCCAATGTGAGTCTTTTCTTGATTATCAAAAGGCAACTTCTTGCATACATTAATTTCATCAGAGTTCTTACTTGCATAATTTTTATCACTAATACTTGATTCTGAACCATATTTCAAACTCATTCCACATGAGTCATACTGGGAGGGTGTTTTTCTTGAAGAAATCTGGTTTGTGCCCAGATTAAGTGCTTTTCCAAAAACATTCTCTCTCTTCTTAGCGAATGTGTTGTTGCTGAGGAGTGAAGTGCCCCACAAATGTTTATCTTGGTTTTCCTGGCTTCTGTTTATCAGGTCATTTAATTTCTGGACTTCTAGAAATGAGAAAAATTAAGTGTACTTTAAAAATTTTAATACATTTCTTATATAAGTGAGATTTATTATATCACTGACTCTCTATTTTCAGGCCCAGGATCCTAGGATAAAATCCCAAGCACATATTTCTCCTTGGTTCAGAAAAACTTAGAATAAAAAACATCTGCTACATTAGAAAATGGAGAGGAGAATTAGCAATGAACACATATATATTTGCTATTTTTAAAAATACGACCCTCAAAACTGAAAAGAGAAGGGGAAATTAAACAAGAACAGTAAATGGAGGGCAAAGCATGACAGAAACTCAAAAATGAGGTGAGCCCAACAGAAACCATGAACAGGAATGGAGTGAAAAGGAATGTTAAGAGATACAGATGTTAAGAAGAAATATTATGGGAAGGCTTAGATGTGTAATAATAAAGATGATCTAGATCTATATAGCTATAGCCTACTATCTATATGACAACAGGTAAAATAAGATGTATATTAGTTGCTCAAGATAACCTTACAAAAATAAATATCTTCTAAAATATTCATTACCAAACACAAGTCACAAGTCTGACAGACTCTTAAGGTCTGCTATCTTGCTAGTCAGCTTTGGCTCTACTAACTACTGAGATATCCTCAAGGAAATTCATGTCTCTCCCTCTCCCCATTTTGCGCACACACATGCGCTCTCTCTCTCTCTCTCTCTCTCTCTCTCTCTCACACACACACACACACACACACACACACACACACGCACACACACATTTTCCACATTATGTCCCTTAAACTACATTTTCTTAAAAACCTAAATGTAGTCATTATGTACCCTTTTCATTAACACAACTTTGAAAAGTATTAATTTTATCTAAATAGGACTTGATAAATACAGAATTTCAAAATATATCATATACTTTTTGTTTACCTCTCCCAACAACAACCTATGCTCCTAGCAGATGCTAATGTATCCCCAATTGCCTTTGAACTCCTCTGAGTAGCTATATAGTTGGTGGCCCTCAACAAGCAGTATGCATCTGAATTATTTGAAAACTTTGATTCAAAATATAGGATATAGTTTTGCATGGTCCCATGTCAATCTATACACCCTATAAATCAGAATCTAGAGGGATGTGAAGTAGTCATATGTACTTAGGAAGTGCTTTCTGAATAAACATGTTTATTAGCATAGTAGATGAACATATCAATTATATATTACATAGGAAAAGAAGAGTAAAAAGGAGACCCTTTACGTGGGGAAAATCATGAGGTGTCACAATATATGATTAAGTCTGAGTTTCTTTTAGTTCAGCCACCAAGGGAACTAGAGTAATTATGTTGACTAGAGTAATTATGAAACACTTCAAAACACAGGTGAAAACTTTAGCTCAAACATAAATTATGTGTAAAAATAAGCACTGCAATCATCAAATACATCCCAGGCACAGTCCTAAGCCCTAGTCTTAACAGGATCTCAATAGGCAAATCTCAAGAAGAAGGGGAGCAGATGCTGGGAAGACACAGAAGTAATATTTAGGAAGCCAGATCAAATGGAACTTAAGACTTTTGTGAAACAACAAAGGGATCAATATGGATTGGTGTGGCATTCATTTTAAGAAGAGGTGTCTTAATAGAGGGCAGCCCAATGTTTACATAAGGATAATGACAAAACAAGACATATTTTAGGTTTAAATATATATACTTAGAACTAGTAATCAAATAAGTCATGAGAGAATAAGGTTCTGGTTTTGAGTGACATCACTAGAAAATAAAAGCTATGAGAGTTTTCAAAAGGAAATAAAAAAATAAGTGATCAGTATAACAAATGGATGATTTTCATGGTTGTCAGATATAGAAGATATATGGTTGAAACTAATTAATTAGAAATAAGAAATGTGAGAAGATATCTAAGTTGGAAGAGGTGATGTTAGTTGTTTTTTGCCATTTTTACAATGAAGGACTAGAACACCTCAGGTAAAGTGGAGAGTAGACTGCAGATGAGACTAAGATAGAGAAGGTGGCATTTTCTGAAGTATTAGGTAAAGCAAAAAAAGTTTAAATCTTAAGAATGGACAAGGCACTGAAGAAAATATTATACAGAGACAGGCTTAAGGGACTCTTTTCAGAAGAAAGAATGATCATGCAATCAAAATTGGGATTGTAAATTTTTTTTTCCAAATGTGAGACTATAAAATGGTATTTCACTGTTCGAAAAGTAAAAAATAGTCTTTACTTATGTGCTGTTTGGGAAATTTTTTCCTACCTCAAGATCACAGATATTACAGTTTTAAACATATTCCACCACACCTTTTTCTAAAGGATTTATAGTTTTAACTTTTAAATGGATTTCTTTTTTTTTTTTTTTTTTTTTTGAGACAGAGTCTC